GAGGTGAGGAAACTAATTAGTACTCAATAAACTAACAGGAGAGTGAAGTCTCATTTATGAACAATGAAACCCCCCCCCTGCAGTTATCTCCCTAGCCAAATTTGTCATTAGGAAGCAGCTTAGGGAATAAGAACTTCTATCTGGTCTGTGTCCTCACACAGACTGATGTGACATCCCTACCCATAGAGGACCGTTTGTCTCTACTTAACTAAAATATTCCACCCACCATATTGGATGTCTTTCTCTCCTAGATGGTATGAGATGAACTCTTACTTTTTCACTTTCATTTGCAATACTCTGTTGAGTGGTCAGTTCCTCAAATGCCATTACTGCCTGCAGAGTGCCCAGAGAGCTTGTTTAAGTTAATTGGGAGCACCACCCCCAGAAATTGGGCTTCCGTGTGTCCACAGTGAGGCTGGAGGATGCTGGCGAGCCTCCAGACATTCCCAGGCAATAGGGAGTGACTTTGAACCGATCTGATTTGCCAGGCAGGTAGGACTCCAAGCCCTCCATGCCTACTTCATGAGCGGCGCTGTGTGTACCTATTTTATTTGTGCTCTCTTCTGCCAAAGTCTTGTTTGAATACAGATTTTCAGCACCTTGACAAGAATTGGCAAAGTATTTAAGTTAACCTTGACCTTTTGATTAATACTGTTTCTTCGACAAGGTTATAAAACAATTGTGTGGAAACCCATCACTAAATCAAAATCACATTTACCACAAGAAATAAAGCAAAGGAAACTTCTATTTTCATGAAAATCTTTGTCCTCCATCATTGCTCTCCAACATAGATGAAAATGTAAAATTTCTGAATATCATATTGTCTGAGGCACTGCCTGATTTTTAAATGTGTAGTAGTCATCAAAAAGAAGGTGAATTTCTCCTTTTTGGTATTTCAAGACAATCTAAAATATCCCTAGCAAAAATGATTTGTATTTTCAAGTGACTGTGCAAGCACAACTCTCACTTTGTGTACATGAGAAGGACGTCCTAATTATGTGCAGGGAGTCATTGTGCCACACTGTTTTCCTATTTAGAATAACAAAAAAACTGACACTAGTTTCTCTGATTTAAAAAGAATGGGAAAATTAATCCATTAATTAATTGATTTAAAAAGTAGAAGAAATCATAATCTGATACAATCAAGGTATAACCACTATTGATGTTTAGGAGAAGTTTACAAAGACCAGAAGCTGGCATTGGCAAGAATACTCTGGTAGACTTTTTTGTAAATTTATTTTTTATTTAACTAAATATGGTATAAAGGCTGGTGGAAGTGTAATATAATTGTGTAAATAAATCCCGTTAATAGATGTACAGATACTTTTTTTTACTGTATCTTGTGAGATAAAGAATCCACCTCTGGTTTTAAAAAATCACATTTTCACCTTGAAACTTGTGAAATAAAGAATCCACCTCTGATTTTAGAGAATCACATTAAGTCATTGAACAGTTATTTATTGATCATTTTCGATGTGTCGGGCAACATGCTAGGTACCAGAGATCCAAAAGAGAACTAAAAAGATAAGACCTCTACAGTCATATTCTAGTGCAATAGAGATAGGAAAAGGAGGAGACAACATAGAAGTAAGTAAATGAAATCATTTCACATTGCAATAAATGCAATGAGGAAAATAACCAGGGTTCTTATTGGGGAACCTTATATGGGAGAGAATCTCAGAGGAGAACGTAATTTAGAGAAGGTGGACAGGGAATATCTCCCCACAGAGGTGATTTTCTGAGAGTGAAGAGAAGAACCAGGTGTGCTGGCTCCTAAGAGCTTGAGTAACATAGAAGTAGAGAATTGCAAAACTGGAAGTAGTGATGAGCCGGAAGGTTAGGGGATGGTGGTCAGAGAGATGATCGAAGTGGCGCAGCCTCGGGTGGTGGCAAGGTCCACGTGCAATGAAGAACACTTCAGTTATAAGTGAAGTGGTTGGGATGCCTGGGTGGCTCAGTCGGTTAAGCAACTGCCTTCAGCTCAGGTCATGGTCCCAGGGTCCTGGGATCGAGCCCCACATTGTCTCCCTGTTCAGCGGGAAGTCTGCTTCTCCCTCTGCCCCTCCCCCTGCCCAAGCTCACTCTATTACTCTTGCACTCTCTCTCACAAATAAATAAATTCTTAAAAACAAACAAACAAAAAACGAGGTGGTCAAGGGGCTGAGAGTTCATTGGATGTCAGGGTCATCTGACAAGAATGGGGATGAGAAGTAAAGTCTAAGCTAGGACCTCCCTTCAGTGCATGAAACAGAAAGATAGGGGCAAAGGCAGCTGACGGTGTGAGGAGGAGGAAGGGAATTTCAGCAGGACACACGCACTTCACAGAAGTGCGAAGCTTTTGCTGGTGGACATGTTCTGGAAGCAGCAGTAAAGTCCAAGGAAATCATTCCCTTCCCTTCTGGCCTGAGGGACAAGTGGTTCAAGGAAATAAAGTAGTGTCTACTTGAGAAAGTACAAGGGAAGCAGAGTCTTGGGGGTCAGCCAGGTTTCATGTAGAGAAAGTCATGGGAAACAAACATTCCAGAAGTCTCTGGAGATTAAAGGGGAATTTGACGACCACAAGCAGAAAGTCCAGAGGGCACGGTGGAAGGCTGATTTCATTTTTGTTCTTGTCGGTGGGGCAGGGAGAGAACTAATTGGGGTACGTGTAGAGACACACAAATTACAGTCTGGATAATAATGGACAGCTGGGAAATCTTGAAATTTACTAGGTCACTGGGATAAAACATTATTACTACTACTATAAAATAATAATAGCAATTATTATTTATAGTTGTAGTAGTAGAAGAAGTAGCAGCAGAAATACATTAACAGTTTTATATCAGGCTTATGCTAAGTACTTTACAGGCAGTCAACCAATAACTCCATGATCTTCCAAAGTTCTAGTCAAATATCACATCATCTGTGAAAATTTTATGGACTTCAGGTCATTGATAAGAAGAGTAAAGATGTATTCAGGATTTTGACGTCATTTTGGCCGTCTCTGAGAAGACAGAATACAAATGGTTTTAGAGTTGGGACTCCAAACATTTGTCTCAATTGTAAGGAAGAGTTGAGCAGCTGTTTTATGTGGCTACCAAGTTGGTGTATGATGATGAGGGGTTATTCACACAATCTTCTTGCACCTGAAAGAAGCAGTCCCCACCCGCACCCTACCCCACTTAAAGCTTAGCTAGTAGGACAATGATACCTGGAGGTGGTTCCCATCCACAGGACTTTATTTCTCTGCTCTTTTGTTCAATTTGCTAGAATATTCCTAATCAACCTGGAAGACCTAATTCCATTTATTCATTCAACAAATATGTGAGAGCAATTATAGGCTATCGACCATTCTAGACACTGGGGATACAGTGGTTAACTGGATGGATGGATGGAAGGTTGGATGGTTGGATGAATGGATGGATGGATGGATGGATGGATGGATGATAAATAGATAGAGAAATAGATAACCTCTAAGAAACTTTCCCCACCACTCCCTTCACCACTGGGCTGGTGACCCTATACATTACTCCCACAGCACATTATTTATTCATTAGTTTTCCGACAACATGCTGACAATTCTATATGTATATATCCATTCCAGTCTTCTCCTCAACCATCCTTTTCAAGTATAAGTGAGATCATGTTACTTCTCTGCTCAGAGCCCTTCAAAATCTCCCTAGTTTGCCCAAAGTAAAAACGAAAGTCCTTAAAATTTTTATCCCTAAAATCCCATCTTCCATGTCTTCCCTTATGTAGTCATTCATTGCCAGAACCGTAGTCAGATGTAGTCAGATGAACAGTAGATGGCAGGTAAACTGATTCATCCCACTGACAAGAGAACTAATTTCTTTTTTTTAAACATTTTTTTAATTTATTTTCAGCATAACAGTATTCATTGTTTTTGTACCACACCCAGTGCTCCATGCAATCTGTGCCCTCTCCAATACCCACCACCTGGCTCCCCCAACCTCCCACCCCCCCACCTCTTCAAACACTTCAGGTTGTTTTTCAGAGTCCATAGTCTCTCATTGTTCACCTCCCTTATTCTACTTTTCATACAATTTTATATAGCAGGATATCAAGTAAACTTTTCTGGATTCCCTAATCTTTCTTCATTTGGGAAGGAGGAAATGTTTCATACATGAATGAAATTGCATGATTATAGCTACTAAGTTATTATGATAAATAAATTTTATAAAATAAAACATTTCCAAGGGAAAAAGATATCTCTTTTTGCAAGTGCTTGGAATACTGAAATGGTCTTGAGGATTTATAGTTAGCTTTGCTACAATTTTAAGTTGTAATTTATGACTTTGAACTCTTCTGTGCTTTATAGTATACCCCAAAAGCAACAACAAAAAAAGTTCAATCCAAATACAGCTGCATTTTGTACTTACATTCAGTGCACTAGTGCTGAATCAGTGATGAAGGTAATATGTTCCTGAACAGCTCAAGAATCATTGACCTACAGGATGATGGAGTATGTTCTATTGTGTTTACAGGCAAAGCTAAGATGAAAATTCAGGATACTCTCTTTTCCATCTTGTGGTTACTGTGTGTGTGTGTGTGTGTGTGTGTGTGTGTGTGTTGGAAGGTTACATAATTGATAACCATAGATAACAAAGATAGTACAAAAACAATAACTGATTCACTATGATCATACATTCAAAACAATACTAGTAGTTTTATCTCGATAATACTCATAATATAGCATGAAAAAATCTATTAATGTAATGCAGGATATTAACATTAAATGAATGATAACATGTAAGTAACCCAAATATATATAATATAAAATGTGAAACTTTGGTTTAGAAGGAAGCATAGATACTATTCTTCATTGTTATATTTTCTCTGAAGAAACTTAACTACAAAATGTATAGTCATTTGCTCAATTGTTTTGGCAGCTTACATGAAATGTGCTCTCTTCAATAGTATTCTAAAGCAAATATGTTATGATTCTTGTATAACCAGGTTTGTGAATATGCTTTCAACTTTTCTCCTTCTCCATTTAACAGAACTCCAAGTTCCATATAACTGAGGCTCCCAAGGGAAAAAAGGAAAATCTTCTGCTCAACTCTGAGAGGCCAACTAGGCTCTTAAGGAAGACCAGCCACCCACAAGGAGAGGATGGGGCTTTAGGTAAGACCACGGGGCCACCAACAATTAAGCTGAGTGAAAAACATGAAGGAAGTAGGACTGTTTTTAAGAAGTTCAACGAAATGAAGTGGCCGTTGGACATCCGCCCTTTAAACAAAAGTTTAGTCAAAGACAACAAATGGAAGGAAACAGATGTGGCCCAGGAGACACGCAGATCTTTCCTTCAGGAGTTTTGCAAGAAATATGGTGGGGTGAGTCGTCCTCAGTCACATCTTTTTCATATGGTATCCAGGATCTACGTGGAAGATAAACACAAAATCTTATATTGTGAGGTACCCAAGGCTGGCTGCTCCAACTGGAAGAGAATTCTGATGGTACTGAGTGGGTTGGCTTCGTCTGCATACAACATCTCCCATGATGCTGTTCACTATGGGAAGCATTTGAAGAAACTAGATAGTTTCGACTTAAAAGGGATATACACTCGTCTGAACACCTACACCAAAGCTGTTTTTGTTCGTGATCCCATGGAAAGGTTAGTGTCAGCATTTAGGGACAAATTTGAACACCCCAATAGCTATTACCATCCGGTATTTGGGAAAGCGATTATAAAGAAATATCGGCCAAATGCCTGTGAAGAAGCATTAAATAATGGATCTGGAGTCAAATTCAAAGAGTTCGTGCACTATTTGCTGGATTCCCGCCGTCCCGTAGGAATGGACATTCACTGGGAGAAGGTCAGCAAACTATGCTATCCGTGTTTGATCAACTATGATTTTGTAGGGAAATTCGAAACTTTGGAAGAAGATGCCAATTACTTTTTACAGCTCGTGGGTGCTCCAAAAGAGCTGAAATTTCCAAACTTTAAGGATAGGCACTCTTCTGATGAAAGAACCAATGCTCAGGTCGTGAGACAATATTTAAAGGATCTTACTAGAACTGAGAGACAATTAATCTATGACTTTTATTACCTGGACTATTTGATGTTTAATTATACGACTCCATTTTTGTAGTTTGCATACATTTTCTAAAACCCTGTATTTACTCCATGATGATGGCCTCCAATCAGCTAACTGTAATTTTCCTACCATTCTCTGTAAGAGAGAGAATTTAACTAAGTGCAGTTGTCTCAATTTAATGAAGATTTTTCCCAGATAGTCTGACACCAATTGGCACAAAGTTATAGGAAAATTACCTTACAGAGACGTGTAAACAACTTGAGTTGCTCTCAAATGTTTGGGAAATAGCTGCTTTTGCATTATGGATTATATTATAGAAGCAATAACCTAGCCAGCTGCTGCATTAGCTTCAACAGCCTCTTGCAATGATAGGAAAAAGGATCTAAAATAGCATGAGTATATGTCTACATCCTGGAATTTGATGTCTAAAGTGCATGGATGTATTTTTAGCAGTCTGTGACATACTACCTGCACACTGGAGAGTTTTCTGACACCCCAGAAATCTTCCTATCAACTGTGATGATAAATCAATTTTGAAATAATATTTTGGACCTAGGCATTTCACTTTAGATAGGAAGGCGTATGTGATTTACAACATGAGAATATAGCAGAAAAACCAGATGAGGCTATGGCTTTTTATATTCAACAGCCAATAAAAAATGCACAGCATGCTACGATCAAAGCGGCAACAACAACCTTCCCCTTCCAGAAAAACTTAAGGGAATTGATTCTGTTTTCTTTTGAGCCCTCTGTGCAGAGACAGAATGAGCATAACCACTAAAGGTCTTCGCTTCTGAAGTGGGCGGTTGAGAAGTTTAAGCCTCATCAGATATAAATGTGCTCCTAATTCTGGTTTAATTGGGCAGAAGGGAAATTGTTTCAGGATGGAATAATCATCAAAAACAAAGTTGCCCTTCTGAATGGCCTCAAACAATAACAAAGTTTTATAAGAATATTATTTGAATCAAAGCATCATGTGCGTAGCTTTCTTTGCAGAATGTGCTCTAAGAATAGCTTTTGTTTCCAGTCTAATTACTTAGCTTGGGAATGACTTTTTAAAAACTCATATACCACTTCAAAGATAGGTTATATTCTAGAGAATAAACAAAATTAGAGCCCTAGAAACATTTTTAATAGGCTTATGCATAAACAAATAAAGGTATTTTCTTTTTAAGTTTAAATATTCTATACTAATGCAAAACACCATTGCATTCAAATATTAAATCCAAGTTTTTGGAAAATAGGACCAGGTGTCACCCCTATCAAAAGTCGTAATGCATTTTGGAAATTTTTTCCAGCAGACCTTAAGTTTGAAGACACATTTAGATGGAGAACTTATTTTAATTGGTTGACTGTTGCTTTGAGTTGAGAAAACCACATATCATTCAAACCCTGTTTAAACGCGGCTCGCAAATACGTTCTTCTTCCCAAACCATCATTGCTTCTCATCAGTAAATACACAGTAACGTTTCTCAGAGAAAAGTAGGCATTAATATTTAAATATTAATAGACCAAGCTAGTTATAGTTGTACTTATTTCATTCTGATTTTCCATTTCATGGCTGCGTATTCATGAATTGCTTTACTCCACACATGCCTGCTTGTCCCATCTGTGTCTCCCGACAAGTACGAAACTACAGCGGGCTCCCTGATCATAAGTATTAAACCTTCTAAGCTAACCTTTTACTACTTTCCACTCCATTTACTCTTGCCTCTAGACCATACACTTAAACTGTGCTCTCTGTTTTTAAGGAGTTTTACTCTAGAGTAATCTAAATCGTATAATTTAAATTTTGCTGTACCATGTAGAGTGGACTCCTTGTAACTTGGAAACATTGAAATGATCTTTTTATGGAGGAAGAGAGGAATAGAAACTATGCCAAGAAGCCTGAAATTTTATTCTTAAACCACACACACAAAAAAAAACCCTAGTTTTTATATGGGTGGAATCTATTATAAAGTATAGAAGCAATTTTCTCAACGTTATTCCTAAAACCTTATAAGGAACCAAAAAAAAAAAAAACCTTCTTTTCATAACTTTGGAAGAAAAAAATGGAAACAGGTGTCCTATCTTTCTCTTATTAGCATTTCTAACACACTTATGAGGATGGAGTACATATATGGAATATGCATGCATATATGTATGTGTGTGTACATACATATATATGTCTATATGACACACACATGTATGTCTATAATACTGTTTGGCACAGGTGGGAGAGAAGAGGGCTGTTGCTTTCCGTTACGGCTGTTCTATGCCTTCCGCTGTCTGTTCTCCTTTCCGTACCCTTTCCACTTAGCCTACATAACCAGAGGTTGTCCTTCAGTAATGCTCTTCCTGAAAGACTCCGACACCAGCAAGCATCCTGTGTGGCTGTGAGTTCCAGGGGCCACATGTTAAAAAGATCTTATGAAGGGGGTGCCTGGGTGGCTTAGCTGAGCAGCTGACTCTTGGTTTCAGCTCAGATCATGATCTCAGGATCATGAGATCGAGCCCTGTGTTGGGTTCCACACACAGTGGGCTCTGCTTGAGGATTCTCTCTCTCTCTCTCTCTCTCCCTCTGCCTCTCCCTCATGCTCTTTCTCTCTCCAATACATATATATATATATATATATATATTTTTTTTTTTTTTTTCCTAAGGGGGTTATGAAGAAAGAACACATTTTTAATGTACCTACTCTTCTTTTAAATGGCTTCTGTTCATGGCAGAGCCAAAGAAGCCAGTCATCATCTTGGATTCCTTGTGATATTAAATACCTCTTCCATTTATCATTTCTGAATTCTTCTGTTTGCAGATCAGCTCACATTCACCATTATCGTTTCTGCCTGGGCACAAGCGCCAGGTGTGCACATCACTGTTCCTTTGGACGGTCACCATTTAGATTCTGAAAGGCAAGTGACCAAATCTAGACTCGTCTTCCATATGTCCAATGTTCACATTCTAACACTAGCATGTGTTAGGTATAATTGCAAGTCCTCTAATTAAACCCTAAGGATCCTATTTGTTTTTATAGGCAACAGTAATGACCCGAGCAGGCTCCTTCACTCTGTTATTCCCCTGTCTGGAATTACTAGTAGAGTAAAAGTTGGCAGTTAAATCCAAAATCAGTTACCTAACATGGTAAACTATCTATGGATATGTGTGGTTGATGTGATTGTGCCCGGGAACTGCCATAAATTTCAATGGAAATGCATGTACAGGACACTCAACTTGCTAATTTTCTCACACGTGTTTGGAAATATCCTTTAAGTCAATGCAAATGTGCAGCTACTTGTTAAATTCTCTAACTTCACAGGCTATAAAATATTATCCAGCAATTCAAGAGCTACTTGGATACCATTTATAATCAAGAAAAGGAAAAAAGATTTTCCACTTTACATATGAATAATTATTCATCAAAGAAGTATTATCTCCTAAAATATATAGTGTTTAGCTGGAAAGAATATATAAGCAGATGCAGGGAATTTTGAATGTGAGTTCCCTTTGAAAGATCACCAGCAGAATTGGTAGAACTTGGAATTCATAGGTTGAGACTACCGTAAACATCGCCCTACTCTAAGTTCTCACTCAACCTCTTGGGGCCTCTTTAGCCTCTAGGCTTTCATAGAATATGGCAAGCAGAAACTTTGCCATGGCTGACGTCCCCAACATGCTCTGAAATCTGAAGGATAGTTGCCCTTAGGCCTTTAAGAACAGTTCAAGCATATGAGGACCTTAGGCCAAGGCTAACTCAGTTTAGTCCTACCTCTAAGGTCATACCTTTTTCATCTCAATCATAATCATTATAATAATATTCAAGATCATAATCATAATCAAACATTATTCATTAATTTAGTCTCCATAGTCAATCTGAGATGCTATGTAGGCCCACATGCGTGCGTGCGCACGCGCGCACACACACACGCGCACACAATAATATAATAAAGAAAACTAGGGGCACCTCAGTGGCTCAGTTGGTTAAGCATCTACCTTCGGCTCGGGTCATGATACCAGGATCCTGGGGTCGAGCTCCATGTTGGGGTCTCTGCTCGGCGGGGAGCTTGCTTCTCCCTCTCCCTCTGCCTGCTGCTCCCCTTTCTTGTGCTCTCTCTCTCTCTCAGATAAATAAAATCTTTTTAAAAAAGAAAGAAAGAAAACTAAATCAGAGTGGTTCAGTGACTTCTCTAAAGAGTCGCAGCTGGTGGGACGCCTGGGTGGCTCAGTCAGTTAAGCAGACAGCTCTTGGTTTCAGCTCAAGTCTGATCTCAGGGTCATGAGATCAAACCTCATGTCTGACTCCCCACTCACCGCAGAGTCTGCTTGAGTTTCTCTCTCCCTCTTCCTCTGTCCCTCCCCCACCCCCCTCTCTCTCTCACTCTGAAATAAATAACTCTCAAAAAAAAAGAAGAATCACAGCTGGTAATTAGGGTTGGGAGCCAGAATGAATCCAAGCAGCATAAACTATTACCAAACTCTCTCCTTGGTTTGAGAAAAGCAGGAAACATATATTGGCATCTTGAAACTTTTTCAGTACAAATATAGATATATACACGTGTGTGTATTTAGCTGGTTTTCGCATTTCAAATCAGCTTATCCCTTTATTCCTGTTGAGTTAAACTGACAGATTCAAAGACTTTATAAGAAATTAAGCTTTCTTCCCCCTTGTTTTAAATTCCCAGTTGATCATGGAATGCAGTGTCAGAAAAAAGAAGTCCCTGGAACAAATTTATCATAACAAAAACAAAATATCATTTTGACAAGAAAGCCCAGACAGCGACACAAATGGGCAAGGTCAAGGAGAATTTAGATGAAAGAGGGAGGGAGTCTGGCCAACTTTCCCCAAATCGGCACTTGAAGATGGTCGTGGCTTATCAGGTCAGCCCAAGAGAAAGCTCCTTAAATACTTCTAGAAGTAAGCAGTCATGTATAGTCTCTTTCCTGAGCTCCTGTCCTCAGAGGAACAGGTTGACTCAAACTAACTGAAAAACACCCTGAAAAGTTCAAGGTAAACAAGTGCTCGGCTAGAAGAGGGCACACTTTCCCAGGTCTTCAGGAGAACCCATATGAGGAAGGCCAAGTCTGGGGACCTCCGCAAAATGGCGTTGTCTCACACCATGTAGTTCCCAGAGCTGCCTGGTCACACACACACATCTTATCCACCACAATCCTATCCTTGTAGGCATATCCAAATCCTTTTAAGCAATCATTTTTCCTATCTCTAGGCCTCTATTTAAATCCTAACTCTGTTTTGAAATACTCTCCTCTCTCATATCTAGACACTCCGTTCATGTTAGGTCACCAAAGAATCTCTTTAGATGATTCGGTTTTGCAACCTCGTGACTTCATGAGCTCGCTGATCAACAGAAAAAGGCAAAATGATTTTCCCCTGATGCGACATGAGTCGGATTCTTCTTTTACCAAGAAATGCAGGCATTCCTTCTCTTACTTTTTTTTTTGCTTCATTTATTCATTTGTTCATTCGCTACATCCCTCTTCATATGCATATAAAATCTCTGTTGCCATTGGAATATGTTCAAGATCTTCCACGAAGAAAGGAAGTGTGTCTGTTTAATTTGTTTTGCAC